AAAGGTTCAATCAATCAGTCAAGCCAGAACAGAACTTGTTTCTGGATGGAAAAACAAGAGAGAAAAGGTGTGAAACTGTAGTGCTCCTCCTCCTCCTCCTCACATTTCCTGCTAAAGTGAGTAATCTCAGATTTTACAAGGGCATGGTGTTTGGAGCTGGAAGAAAAAGTTTGGTAAAAGGTAGTTTGTTCTGAGGCAGCAAACTACCGCAAGAAAACAAAGCATTTCAACTTTCCATCCCCACTGCCGTGCAGAGACATGGGAACATACCTTTGCATGGTGGCGTACGTACCCGAAATAGCTGAGAATGAATGCTCCTTCAAAGACATTAGGGAACATTATTTGCAATAACATTGTTCCACTGGGGTGATATATTATTTATTTTAAGGAAAGGTTAGAATTATCCTTTTTTTTTTTTTCATAGCCCTAGTCTTTGGACCCAGTTTATATCAGGAGGCTGAAAATGAAAGGGGCAAACCTTGCAAATTTTCTGAAGCATCACCGAGACAGGGTGAGAGCCCCATGGGGACATACCCCTCGAGGCTAGTTTGCCTCAAGCAAGTGCTCAGATTTCCAGGCTCAGAGCATATTCACTCGGCAGGGGAGGCCGGAGGAAGCAGTGGCCTTTTCTCAGCTTTGGGCTGTAAATATATATGAAACATAGCTAGGGAAATCACGTTCACTACAGTGCACACGCAGCGTGCGTGTAGTGTGTGCAGGTCCCACGCTGGCATCTGCAAAGAGGACAATTAGCTGCTTGCGTGAAATTAGGCTTGGAGTTCGACAATGATTTTTAAGATAAGAAAAAGGCCATTTGCTGGCTGACGGGCTCTGGAGTCTGCAGCGATAGGTCTGAGCCTTGCAACACAGGGAGATCTGCCAGGGAAGAACCAGTGGAAGGACAGGTACCTCCAGGGCAAGGTGTCCTGGCCACACACGGCTTGGCAGGACCTTCCCCACAGCAAAACCCATCAGTCGAGGGAAAGAAGCAATGCCATAACCAACAAGTGCTTGGAACCATCCCTGGGGGCATCTGGCAGGGACAAGAGGGACATCCTAGCTCCCCGAGTGACCATCCCTCTGCCCTTGGTGCCTCTAGCTGGCATGCTGGTTCTCTTTTGCCTTTCACCTCCTGCCAAGTTTAATTAGAGCTAAATAACACCCCCCAAAGCTGCTTGCTGTGACCCAGAACCAGCCATCCAGCCCCATGCAGCAGGACCCAACTGCAAAAATATCTCGTGCTGGCTGCCTGGCACAGAGAGCAAATGCAGCCAGATCTGGTCCGGTCCAGCCCACCTCCCCAGCACCCATCTGCAACCCAGCCTGGAGACAGAGACAGTACTGGTAAGCAGAAAGTAAAAAAAACATAAATAAAGCCTGTAGTGCCTTTTTCGGCCAAAGGTGAGAGATACTAGTTCAAAACATCCAGCTTTTCTAACAAACCCAGAAAAAACAAGTTTGGTACCACTTATATATTAACTACCTAAAGTCTGGCAACTTTCAACACAACAGTTGCATACGGCCCTACGTAAAGATCCTTTCCAAAAACACATGACTACACATTAAAAACGCTCTCATTTAAAGATAGGAAAGCTCTTTTTAAGATTCCTGTGCAGTGTAGTATATTGAAGGCTGTCTCAAAAAGAAGAGTGTCATTTTTCTTCTTTGGGTTTGAGGCAGGTTATTTTAAAGGGCTTTGCGTGATGAGCTCTGGGCATTTCTGCTCAGAGGGTTACTGCCCCCTGCTATCCCCTTCCCACCAGATGAGCTGTCTCTGCTCCTTGCTTGCTGCAGATTATGTGCACGTAGACGAGAAGCGCTGCAAGCTGATGCTACAAGAGCAGTGACCTGCAGCAGAAGAGGGTGTAACAGATGGAGCAAATACCCTCCTCAACACACCCCCAGAATATGTTGTCCAAGCCCCAAATACAGATTTCTTATGCCTCTTACGCCACCTTATTGCTGGCTGAAAAAGCCCAGGAGGAGGGAGGAAAGCAGGCTGGGCACAGAGGTAGTGGAACACAGCCCTAAAGAGCAGGAGGGAAGAACTGCCTGTTACTACATCTGGTAATGAGTTTGTCTGCACACTGAGAGTACAAGTTGAAACCCCCACAAAAGCAATACAGCTACTGCAGATTTGAAGCATATAATTTCAGAAGGAGTGTTTGTAGGAGCAGAAAACACGTGGGCATACAGAAAGAGGAAAAGACAAAATCAAATTATTCTTTTTAAAAGGCAGCTGTGCTAGCATTTGCCTACAGCATTCTCCTGGAGCTTCACTTCTACTCCCAGGAGCCCTGGAAGAGGTCACTGAAACCATAAGAGTCAAAACCACAAAAAGTGGGAAAATAAGCTCCCAAAATGAGCACAAAGCATTGAATGACTACTCTCGTTTTCCTCCTCCCAGCAAGTACAAGGAGCAGGCTATGTCCTGGAAGCAGGTCTGTGCAGGTGGCAGATCCCAGAGCTCAGCGACAGCTCTGCTGGACCGCAGGACCCCGTGTGCTCTGATCCCACAAAACAGATCCCACGCTATGTTGTACAAGCACACACAGTCCCTGTGACTCCAGCTCACCTCAGCCTACAGCGCGGATTGCTTTTTTTTTTCTTTTCAATCTCAAACATTCCTATTAGAAGCCTCAGCCTACACCAAAGAATTAGGGATAACTGTTACTTGTGGAAATTGGAAGGAAAAATACTAATCTTAAATATTGCTTAAATAAAAGCTGGAGAACTGAGGATCTGGGAATCCAGTCTTTTACCCAAAAACGCCCCAAAATATTTGAATGAGAGGAGCTCGGAGTTTCGCTCCTGGTGCTAACCGACAGGCAGGCACTGGCACAGCCAGCGATCGCCTCTCCCCAGGCACGCGGCCCGGCGACATATTGCAGAAGTGGCCCACGCAGCCTGCTCGGGAGGAGGCGTCCCTGATTGACGGTTGTCTCGAAGACAAATGCCTTCGCACCCCTCTGGGATAACGGCAGCAAGCTTCCCTGGCAGCTGGGCGAGGGAGGAGGCGCGCTGCGAGATGGGGAGGGAGCGGGGAGGCCTCGGGGTGTGCAGGTGAAGGCAGGCGCTGCCAAAAAACACCGCACCGGCTTGATTAGGTCGTGCAGCTCCTCTGACATGGCCTCAAAACCCCATAAAGAAGAGGGGACCAAGCTGAACTGTGACCAAGCAGGTTTTGTCCAGAAAACTGGGCAAGGCTGGGGCGCGCAGGAAGGGAAAGTGCCAGTGAAGCAGCACGAACAAGCCCGTGCCCCTCAGCGCGGCAGCGGTTTCACCCTGGCAGGGCTTCTTCCAGTGATGCCAGCGTTACTTTGCCATTTCTTGTCTGCAGTTTCCAAACTTCAGAGACCTACTCACGATGGTTACTTGAGTGGGCAAGTATCCTGCCCACATTGACAAGAGAAGGACAAACTGGTGTGAAACTTTGTTCCACCTCCAACTCATTCCCAGCCAGGCTTCAGCGCTTGGCTTGACCCACGCAGCAGAGAAAGCTGCCAGGTTCCAGCCAAAACCCTAGCTGCGGGCTTGGAAAGCCGGAGATTATGCATGCATTTTTTAAACAAAAATCAGCACAAATTTTCCCCCACAGGAAATCTTGGAAAGAAAAGCCAGGGAAGCTGGCAATAGAAGTCACCTGAGAACTTCAGTGTCACTGCCCATGGGAAGCGAACAGGCAGCTCCAGTCCTGGAGGAGATACTTTCCCCCTCACTGACTCTAAAGTCAAAGTCTTTATCATGAGCAAATCTCCCCAAGCCCAAATGCAGAGCTGCTGGGCACAAATCACTCCTCCTGGCTGACGTGTGTCTGTCTTTGCAATTTCACTTCTCTCTCCCATGCTATCTCCTGGGGTACACCTAAGCTCTCCTTTAGGGGGCAAAACGTTTTTTGTTTTGGTTTGGTTTTTTCCCCCCTTTAATCTTCTACACTGTGACCACTTCTTTTCAAACCATGTACTATTTTCATAGAATCATAGAATACCAGGTTGGAAGGGACCTCAAGGATCATCTGGTCCAACCTGTCTCAGCAAAAGCACAGTCTAGACAAGATGGCCCAGCACTCTGTCCAGTCAAATCTTAAGTGTCCAATGTTGGGGAATCGACCACTACCCTGGGGAGATGATTCCAATGGCTGATTGTTCTCATTGTGAAAAATTTTCCTCTTGTGTCCAATCGGAATCTCCCCAGGAGTAACTTGTACCAATTACCCCTCATCTTTTCCATGTGACTCCTTGTTGAAAGGGAGTCTCCACCTTCTTTGTAGCCACCCTTCAAATACTAGAACATGGCAATAAGGTCTCCCCTAAGCCTTCTTTTCTCAAGGCTGAACAAACCCTGTTCTCTCAGCCTTTCCTCATATGGGAGGCTTCCCAGTCCTTTGATCATCTGTGTGGCCCTTCTCTGGACCCTCTCCAGCCTGTCCACATCTTTTTTGCATAGTGGGGACCAAAACTGAACACAGTACTCCAGGTGTGGCCCAGCAAGCGCTGAGTAGAGTGGGATAATGACTTCTTTACCTCTGCTGGGGATGCCCTTGTTGATGCAACCCAGCATCCTGTGGGCTTTCTTTGCCATAGTGGCACACCGCTCACTCATATTGAGCTGCTTATCTACCAGGACACCCAGGTCCCTTTCCACAGAGCTGCTCCCCAGCCGCATAGATCCCAGTCTGTGCTGCGCTCCTGGATTGTGTTTTCCCAGGTGCAAAACCTTACACTTGTCCTTGTTGAACTTCATAAGGTTCTTGTTAGGCCACTCTTTCAGCCTATCCAGGTCTTCCTGAAAGGTGTTCTCCCTTCCGAAGTGTCCACTTCCCCACTCAGTTTGGTATCATCGTCAAACTTCATCAGGGTACACTTGATCCCATCATCCAGATCACTTATGAAGATATTAAACAGCGTTGGGCCCAATATCGATCCCTGGGGGACCCCACTTGTGACAGGTTGCCAGTTTGAAAAGGAGCTATCTACCACCACCCCCTGGGTGCAGCCCACCAGCCAGTTCCCCACCCACCGCACAGACCACTTGTCTAGACTGTAACGCATCAGTTTCTCTGGGAGAAGCCTGTGGGAAAATGTATCAAAAGCCTTGGAGAAATCCAGATAGACAATGTCCACCACTCGCCCCACATCAACAGGGCAGGTTACTTTGTTGTAGAAGGCCATCACACTTGTCAAGCACGATTTGCCCTTGGTGAATCCCTGCTGGCTTTTCCCAATCGCGTGCTTCATTTGACTTGTGATAGCCCCCAGGAGGATTCGTTCCGTAACTTCCCCAGGGACTGAGGCACAACTGATGGGTCTATAATTTCCTGGATCCTCCTTTAAGCCCTTCTTGTAGATGGGGGTGACATTAGCATTCTTCCAGTCTTCTGGGACGTCCCCCGATCCCCACGACTTCTCAAAGATTATGGAGAGCGGCCTCGCAACGATGTCAGCCAGCTCTCTTAACACCCTCGGGTGGATGACGTCAGGGCCCATCGGTTTGTAGGGCTGAAGCTCCTGTAACAGTTCACATGCCAACTCTTCCTTCACTGACGGTGGGTCTGTGTTTGCATCAACCTGGATTTTTGTCCCCAAGGCCTGGGGCGCAACTGTGCTGGTAAAGACAGAGGTGAAGAAAGTGTTGAGAACCTCTGCCTTTTCAGCGTTGTTGATGACTACTTCACCTCTCTTGTTTAACAGAGGGCCAATATTTTCCTTCTGTTTCTGCTTGGTTTTTTACATACTTGAAGAACCCTTTCCTATAGTTTTTGACATCTCTGGCCAATTTCAATTCAAGCTGAGCTTTTGCTTTTCTAACTGCATCTCTGCACATGCTGGCAATGCCCTTGTAGTTCTCAACAGGTATTCGTCTGCTTTTCCATTTCTGGTGTGCTTCTGTTTTGGTTTTGAGCAGACTCAGAAGCTCACAGTTAAGCCAAGGGGGTCTCTTGCTCTGCCTACTTCCCTTACCTTTACAGGGGATGAACTGTTTTTGTGCTTCTAGGAGAGCGTTCTCCCAGCACTCGCTAGCTCCTTTATCCTCCACGGAGCTTTGTGATTAATTCCTTAGACAATTTTCACAGAAATGTGACTTAAGCAAGCAAACCAAATCCCAATTCATCCAGATGCAACGGAGAAGCAAAGCAACTGAAGATAGCATCAGAAAAAAAAAACAACATAGAAAAATAGATGCCTTTGCCACGTTGCAGGCTAACAGCGAACAGCCACAAGCAGCACGAGCATGATAGAATAACGACGCTTATCTGGAGCAACCCAGAGTCTGGCCAACATGAGTCAGTAAGAGCAAGGCACCCACCAGCCTGTTTGGAAGACCAAGGAGACTTCTGAATGGGTCTGGTAGCTGAGCTCTCTGCTAAGCCTGTGCACAAATCCTGCTGCCTATGGGCTGACATTCGGGTGGGCGACACAGGGTGCTTTCCCTGCTTGGCTGCTGCTGTGCTGCTGAAGAGAGACCGGCATTCCCTGTAGTTACGGAGGGCCATAGAGAAACCCTCTGAAGCACGACATCAAAGGCTGGAGTTCAAAAGAAGTAAGACTTTTCTTCCCTTATTCTTGGTGCCTGCAGAACCAGCATTAACCTCCACCACACTCTTTGGTTTTATGGGCTCTTCCCAAGAAAGAAAATAACAGCACATTAAGCTGGCACAGTATGTATGAAGCGATAGCAAGACCCCTTGCAGTAAAATCTCTGTGTGACGCAGAAGGAATTACCTCCACGATTCCATTCCCGCGAATCCTGCAGCATCACGCTGTCAGACAGCTGAGCACCGCGCAGGGGGTGTTGTGCTGCTGATGCCAGAGCGTGATTTCCATTAGTGTTAATAGGAACTACTGACAGCAGCGGCAGCCAAGAAGCCAAAAAGCCTCCAATCTCAATGATCGCTTTTGATAAGTACAGAACTGCATTAAGTCAGTCCCAGCAGATGTACCATGCACGTGATCAGGGCACAAGCATGAGAAACCAGCCAGGATTCAAGTTCAACAGGCTCCAAAGAAGGGCTGGATCCCAGCTGGGATGGGGAGTCAGAGCGGTACAAATGGCCAGCGAGGTGTCAGCAATGGCACAAGCCTACTCCTCGTCCAGCATCCACATGGCAGCTGATTACAGTCCTTGGGAACAAGTTAGAAGGAACCAGGCGGCCACCGCAGCATTTTCTGCAGCTACTGCAGGAACAACTATTGCCAACAACTGCCAAGGTCCTTGGAATGGAGCATGGAGGCTGCATTTCTATCCCCAGTGGAAACATAAGATGATTCACGAGAAAAGTATAGGTATGGAAAAACAAGGGCTTGGAATCAGAAGATAATACAACCAGAAACATAAGACGGTCCATGAGAAAACTACAGGTATGGAAGAACAGGGGCTTAAAATCAGAAGGTGTTGTTTTGGGGGTTTTTTGGCTATATCTACCTCCATTTGCACAACACACTAACAAGCAACCACAAAGAAGTATTATTGCTTCCAAGTTAAATGCACATAAAAGTCTTCTTGGGAACAGCCTGTAAAGTCCTTGTTGGGCAACCTACTCACTCAGGTTTCTGCTTCTTACAGCCACCCCTGTGGTTTTCAGACCACTTGAAGCTCAGGATCTCTGAAACAGAGATTTTGATTGAAAAAGTTAATAACCCTTGCTCAAACACAGTACCGCATCAAGAGCCTGGGGTTCAGCTGTGCCTACCTCTGTTTCAGATACTTCAGTGTTATTTTTGCCGTGTAAATTCATTATACCAAGGGAGAGACAGTTGCTCTTATTTTCATTATTTTTAGCAGACAGCAATTATACAATCATTGCACCTTTACAGAAACAAATCCCACTTTAAATGTACTAATTTACATCCCCCATTATGGTCCAGCAGTTCAGACAGAAGGAAAAGTCCATCATTACAACCATCACTTCAAGTCATTGACGCTTTTGGATACGCAAAAGCCTAGAGAAAATTCAGCCCCAAGATATGAATACAGATTTTTATTCTTTAGAGAAAAAGCCAGATACAAACCACAGTCCTCTGAGAGCAGATAAACTAGACGTCAAGGTTATCTTCTTCAAAACAGTTTAATAAGCAGGTGCTGAGCCTGTGGTGCCCGTTTATCGAGCACGCCACACGAGGCGAGCGAGTCGCTGGCACATCCTTGGCCCTTGCAATTTGCAGCAAAACCATCAGGTCTCACAGCAGATCCCCTGCCAGTTTGAAGTATCTCTCCACCACCTCCACCACTCATTTCTCATCAGCTCTCCGCAGACAGCAACAGATCATTTCATCCTGTTACTTATGCCACAGAAATTTAGACTCAAAGAAAAATAGGCATAACAACATTGCATCACTTAAGCAACCAACTTAGCTGACTACATCAAATTCTGCCTGAACTGCTGGCAAGAGCAACAGACCTTTAATTAAACTAACTAGCCCTGAGCCAGAGAAATACTTTTTTCCTCCCGATTCATTTGATAGGAGGTGATGGTGCCGAGATCACCTTCACAATCCAAAGCAGTGCTGAGTGCTCCCCTACAGCTCACTCAAATCCCTTTGGTTGCAAATGCCTCTGCAGCAGGCTGTGCTGCCCAGGGACCTGCCTTGTCCCGTTCACACCCAGGTCAGCTCCAGGGTTTATTTTTGCTGCCAATAACCAGACTCTCATGGCCTCCCTGTACCGCTCGGTGCAGAATGGAAGTAATGAAAAACTCCACTAGCCTGTGCCCCAAGGTGCTCGTAACTCAAATGATTTCACATGATAATCCATGAGAGCCAAGAGCAGTCCCCTTCACAGGGCTGTGTCAAGGCCACAAGTCTGCGTCCCTTGGGCACAGATTGATGCTGAGCTCTGGAAGGGGAGCCCACGCTCGTGCCGATGGGGTCTGGACAAGCTGGGTGCAGAGGAGGGAGAGGGCTCCCCCCCTCCCGCCGTACCTGCGCTTGCCCACATCAGGTTTGCCATCGACCTTAGAAAGGTCAGACTCTTCATGGGAGCAAACTGCTGCAGGAAAGAGACACAGCTTTGTACCACCCAGCATGATGCTCCGTCATGTGGCACTGTCCAAGCCCACACAACGCATTATCTTTTACTACACACTGCAATGAGCTGCGTTTTTTAATGCTTTTTTCTTCTCTTCTGGAAAGGAGCTAATTAGAGTAGAAAAGGATCTCTATGACTCTCACATGTATGACTCCTGTACTTCAGAGATTTTTAATTTGTGTTGCGTGATTACCATGCACACACTGTACTTGGAATTATATAGCACATAACCTAATCAAACAACACTAACAACACCAGGTAGTTAAATCATGCTGTGATAAGCAAGGAAAACGATTTTGTGTAGGCATAGCAAAGTCTCCCTTGAACCTCAGCCAAAGTGGCATCTACTACCAATTATCAAGTTGGCAAAACGTACCTGTTATTGAGGGCAATGGTAAACTTAACATGTAAAGTGCATGGCTGGGGGTGCATTAAGTCATTTGCACAGTGCTATTCAGCTGTTGGTGGAGTGGACTACAGGCTGAGCACAACCAAAGGGAGATGTATTGTGTTGTAAAAAAAGCCAAAGCATCACATAGAGATGGGTACACAAGGGAAGAGGTAGAAGGAGCACCCTCCTTCCCATGTTGCAGGGAAGGGGCACCCTGGCTGGCACTGACCACCCGGGGAGCCCCTGAGAAGGGGATCAGGAGCAAAGCAAGAAATGTGAGCACAGGGAAGGGCTGCGGGAACCGCAGAGCTCCCTCGGGGAGGGAGAGACTTTGAGGACAAGAGTCCTCAAAGTACGGAAAAATCTGCTGCAAAGAAGAGATTAATTCATTCCCCGTGTCCATGACAAGAAACTAAAGGTATGTGTTACAGCAAGGAAGCCAGGCTGGAGACTGAGGAAAGATCTCTGTCCCAGTAAGAATGCAGATGCACGGGAGGAGGTGGCCCAGGAGCCCGTGTCCCTGCATCCCTGGCAGGACCAGCCAGCTGAATGCCACCAGGAACAAGCCGGGCACACGCAATCCTGCTTCGAGAGAGGAAGATGATCAGATGGCCCCATGTCCTTCCAGCCCTATTTTTACTCTCTGGACTCCAGCTACCCCACCATACCTCGCACAAGGCACCCCGCAGCCCGACGCTGCTCCACAGTGGCCCCCCGCGAGAGGCGCAGGCTATATTTATTCTGGTACATTGCAGTGGGAAGCTTTAATCTGTGTAATCGCCTCAGAGAAGATTTCATTCAGTGAGGGGAAAGCAATTACCATTTCATTTGCAACCGGTTGCCTTCCCAGGGTCTTCATCTATCAGAGCTGGAGGGTCCTGTCAGCCCCTGCACCTGCTTGGACTTTTTTTTTGTGAGATAGGTTCATGCCTCTGACAAATGCATCTGCAGATATTCAAGGTTTTCAGCCCCTGTTTTCTCCTCCCAAATGCTATTGCTTTTAGCTGACAGCATACACCCTACATGAAGAAAACAACTGGATATAATCCTAGATTAAAGGGACTGTAATGC